CCCCGCCCCCCGCCCCCGCCCCCCGACCCCCCCGCCCCCCCCTCCCCAAGCAAAAAATGCAATCCCATCAAAATTTTCGAGAAACATACATGTCCGCATCTTCGTCCATGTCGTGCAATCTGTTCTTGTTCTTAAGCCACATACCACATGCCATCAAAAACTCCCAAGAAAATCTATATCTGCAGATTTGCGATCATGTTTCCCAAGTGGGGCCTGCCCTAAACCTCGAAGCCCCGAAGCCCTAGACTCTAAGAATTTAACCCATAGAGCCTAAAAGCCCTGAACTCGACGCAGCTGAACAGTAAAAAGCCCCAAGGCATCCAAGAGCCTAGTCCTCAGTAGGCCTGATAGCCCTCTCAAAAATGCTCGCAAGTGCTCTCCAAATTCTGTATGACAACACTTTTAGTCGCAAGCAACCTGGTTCACCGCCTTAAAGGAAAACCCATCTGAGCGGGCATGCAGGAGATTTACAGGTTACAAGTGATCGTAATTACAGTCGCAAGTGATCCTGTTTCGCAGTGGCAAGCGACAACAACATAGAATCACAAGTGATTTCATAGTCGCGCGAGACCTGATTCAGAGAGATTGGCGTAAGGTATATAGTGCAGTGCAAATATATGCGTCTGCATGGGGAGGCTCGTGGGGCTCAACTGCCCTACTCCCCCACTTCCTCCTAAGCTACCAGTAGATTGATTGCTAGTGCAGTTCGGGGACTTCCACAGTGTGGAGTGTGCTTTTGCGGTTTTGGGCGGCCCTAAACCCTTATTAAACCTGGCGGGAATTTTAGTTTTTTTGGGAGCTGCGAGCACTGCGCAATCAAAACTCTCCCAACTTCCAAGCCCACAACCGGCAGATCCGGAGAAAAAACGTATGCCATACTGTAGATGTCTGATGGAGTACCAATGTTATTCTTCGTGTCTTTGGAAATCATAGTACGTATAACATACCCCAAAACCCTTTTCGAATTCATTAGCTTGTACCCCAGATTTGTTTCACATCCGTTTACATTTCATGCCCCTTGGATGTTCCAGTTGATTCTCCGTTGTTTCATTTTTGTAGGCCCCTACACGAATCCAAGCCCCCAAACCCTAGGCCCAAGTAAATTACGTGTTGGTCCCTTCAGACCCTTGCTTGGCACCACCGCCAGCGGTGGTCCAGCCAGTCGTCCTTCCTTTGGTTGCAGGCACGTGCGAAACCTGGCATGCGAAGGTTTCAGGGTTCAGGGTTCAGGCTTTCATTGTTTAAGGGTCAGCCAGGGGCTTGTTGAGTTAGATGTGTATGCTCTCGCTGGGTGCCCTCATTGTCCGCAGGGTCTAGGCCCAACATTTTCGATTTGGGCCTACTGACTTAGTCTCAGGCGCACATCCTGTGTAAGCTCTTTGTTGGCACATTTTATTCGCTGACCTAGCGCAGATATTTTTGGGTGCATATTCAGGTTGCCAACGTCCAAACAGAAGCTTCCAATAGGGTTCCTTATATTGTATACACCCAGATATACGCGCGTCCCTTCTCGAAGCCTCCTCCAAAATGGGACCCTCGTGTTTTTTTTGTGAAGCGTTCATATTCCTGTAAGCTACTGCACAGTAGCAGTTTCCAGTTCATTGTGAATTTTCCCCTAAGCCCTAAAACCAGTTGACGCAATTTGCAGAGCCTGAAGTTTGGGCAGCTTTTGAAGATATCCAAGCGCCATTGTCCCGGTTTTTCCCGAACGAGTGTCACGAATGTGCTGAATTCCAGCTTTCCCGGAGTGTCCGGGCAGTGGCCAACTTCAGAATGATGATTGAACAGGCCACTTTCTCGAAGATTTCAGGCTTCGGGAACTGCCCAAAGCGCCCAGGGTGGCAGACACCCGGAATGGTGTTCTAACCGAGCTCGACACGTTCAAGCTTAGAACTTAGATTTGAAACACGCAAACACAACAACGAAGCCATGTGGCAGCTTGTCAACACTTGTTGTCCCGTTTTGGGTGCCCTTAGATACTCAGGGCCGCAATGTATTGGGGACCCAACATGGGGCCCTAAGTTTGACAACCTTGCATGTGGGCACACGGGAGAATTGAAATGAAGCAAGGTGGCTTGGCATGACCCGACGCAGCATCTCACGGAAGTTGATCCCATGCATGCACCTGCACGATGCTGTTACACCTTTGTATACCTTTGTTTCATTGAGGCTTTGCTGTGTCAGTTGTCCTTAAGACCACGGAAGGTTTTTATGCTTCTGTTTTCGCCAGCTGTTACTCTGAGCCGAAAGCCGCATTACACCCTGGGTGCGCAAGCCGAACTCACGAAATGCTTTGGACCCCAAAGCTCCTTCTCCCCTGTATCCCAGGAGACAGACCCGGCGCAGCCCCTTATCATTGACGCTTGCGAGACTCGCAGTCTTACGTGCAACAAGGACACGTGGCTGCTTCGATCTACAGATCTGAAGGAAATTGTCTAGCTTAGACCTCTGCCTGTGTAGGTTCAGGGTCACGTGTTTGATCTTTGTTCTTAGTTTTCAGGGCCTCATGGACGTTGCTCTGAAGACTCTTCTTATTCCATGGCCAAGATGTTTTCTGTCGTTCGCCTCCGAGCGCAATCTGCTTTGCCTTGGTTAGATTTCACTCCTATTTCTCGCGAAGCTGTTTTTACTACATGGAGACCCCCAGGAATTCAATATCTACAATATCTTAATTACAGTCCAGGGGGGTTACAATTCAGCGCTTCTATAGCTGCAAGCACAGATTTTTTGGATGCGTATGAGTCGTATGAGGGTTTCCTTCCCTTGCATTCATGTCCAATGCCCGTTCCAGCATGAGATCCTAGATGTTTTGCGTTCCCCACACAAGTACCCATTTTCAGGGAATGAAATTCTCGTGGACCTTAAGCCCTGAACTCTAAGTCCACAAAAACCTGAAGCTTCGCATTACGCCGGAGGGCCCGCCTTTCAGCCTGGGCACGACCGCGGTCAGCTGCATCACCCCCCTCCCGGACGGGGACGAAACTCAAGTTACTGGGATGCTGTTAAGGAATTTAGATTAGGTTGCAGTGGCTCGGAAACCACGTTTTCAATACACCATATACGTATCCATGTTATGCTGACGTAACACATTCCTCAACGGCAGCACAGGTCAACTTAGACGTTGTCGTGTCAGATACCGAAGCGCCTGTCTCCAGGCTGCAGTTGGCAAGCTACCGTACCGACTCCCGCAGAATACAAGCTGGGCTTATGGAAGTTTGAGGTTTTGATCGAGGTCCTCCAAGTGAGCCCCAGACTACCTCCGAGTTGCGTCGTTCTAGCCAAGGGAAACATTGGATTAGGATCAACATGCCTGGCTCTACATTTTCTATGAGCAGTTTACGTGAAGAACCTATCGGGGCAGCCCAGTTCATCAATTTCTTTTGGACTTGCTGTGTTTCCAGGCAATCGGTCGCATGGCTGAATGTAGCTCGAGCTTATAGAACGGCCCGGTAGGCAAAGCACAATTTTGCCTGAACCTCCAAAAGGTGATAGGCGCATGTGCGCCACCCGCCTCAGTAGTATCTCAGCTCCACTCGTCAAGAGAACCATTTCCGCGACGTGTGTGATCTTGCAGTTCACGTTCGCCGCAACTGGAATGGCCACCGTCATGATCAGGGTACACTCTACGAAGCGCTCCACAAGCCCTGAATAGCGCTTGCATGGCCCTGGTTGGAAGCTTCCAGGTGATTGACGACAAGTGCCAAGAGGTGACAAAGCACATTAAAGTCTGCCTCTCAGACGTCTGAGATTTGGGATGAGCTTACTTGGAGGTTTTAGGGTCTAGGGTGTAGGATTTAGGGTTTAGGGTATAGGGGTTAGGGTTTCGGGATGAACCTCATATTGTTGAATGCGAAGTGTTCCAAAATGCCCAGAGCCTGCGCTCTGGATATAGCATATCAGGGCATGCAGTTGCGCAGCTGTGATTGGTCAGCCCTTTTGGGCTCACAGAAGCCAAAGATAACATGTGAGCCATGCCATGAGCATTGGAGTTTCGGTCTCTAACCTGCAGTGGCAAGGCATACTGAAAGAAGAGCTGTAGCAATCACGATCGCTTCCTGTCCCAAAGGTGCATGAACGTCAGCAGCAACAATCAGGAGATTACTAAAGTTAGTTGTTCAAAATGCCAATTCCCAAAAATGGCCGCAAGATGGCTTCCAGTTTGGATTGTAGAAGTGTATTCCTAATGGTACCTCCTTAAAGGACCCAGGGACTCCTTACAAGGGGGTTATATAAAGGGCTATACGGAGGACAAAGTATAAGGGTTATTGAGGGAGATACTAGGGGTTTAGACCGTAAATCTTTGAACCCGACAGCCCAAACCCAAAACCCCAAATCCCTAAACCCTAAACCCTCTACCCATATGGTTTCTAGGAGTCGTAGGCTGAAGTCGAGGTCAGGGGCTCAAACCCTTGGGGTGTTAGGGGTTAGGTAGGCCTGGTTTAGGGTTCAGGGTTCAGGGTTTAGGAGGGTTAGGGGCTTTAGGCTGAGGGTTTAGGGGTTAGGGTCTAGGGTTTTGGGCTTAGCGGGTATGAGGTAGGGAAAGTCCCAAGTAATATTATATGGTCCCTTATAGCTTTACAGAGAACACAGCTGTTTCGTATTTACCTACCTAGCTGGTCATAGTAATATTTGAGCCCAATGTCCGTCAATGATGCATCTGATCAGGTGTGCCAACGACAACCTCTGAGCTTCGACGTCCCCGCTGTTACAGACAACTGCCCTGGAGCGACTGCTGCACACGCCCTGAACCCTAGACCCTAAACCGTGAACCCTAGACCCTAGACCCTCAGCCCTAAACTCTAAGGCTTGATCCCCAAACCTTGCGCCTGAAGCGAACCCTAAACCCTAAGCCCTAAACCCTCAAGCAAGGAGCTGGGGAAGCCGTATGCAGCCCAGCGCCAGGGTCAGTTTTTCGGCTGGGACGCACCGAAGTGACACTGGGCGTATGGTGGAGTCTTGCGTAGAAGGTTCTTTTGGACCACTTTCTCTGCTCAATTCTGGCTCTGCCCTCTCATTCTCCAACACAACAGCAACAGTAGCAACAAACACAGAAAAGGATCCTACAAGTTTGAATGGTCTGGGGCCTGGGGCCACGGAACTGGATATCACACAAACTAGTGGCTGGAGCATGCGATAAGATGGCGACACTTGCTGTTTCAACCTTTTCATTTTCCTACATAGTCAAGCAGGAGTCCATTTTTGAAGCGTTTGTGATCTTGGTGGTGAGTTTGTGCAATACTTCATTTTAGAGCAACAGCGCTTGTAAATTGCTCATGCTTCAACATGTTGCAGAAGTCTTCTTCGGGCAGCGCTCAAGCAAGCAACGGGTCTGCCTCCTGGATGCAGGCGCTATGGCTGCGTGCATCATATAATGCTTCACTGGACCGAGATATACATCTCGAAACGGGGAATTTGCACGTAGTCAGTCCTCATGTCCCGGGCAAGTTTTCACATGTCTTGCAGCACTTGGCTGCTTCCACGCCAGAGAATCAGAAGGACAGCAGTTTCTCAGTATTACTCTCGTATCGTCAATGAGGAGGACCTTTGAACATAAGGTCTGTAGAGACACGAGTTGAGAGCCTCTCATGTGTGTTCAGAAGCCCTACACCCCGAACCCCAACCTCTTCTACAAAGCCTTGCCGGTGGTAGTAGCAAAACAAGGTATGAAGTAGCGGGATCCTAAGTGGGGATAGGGGTCTAGGAGCTACAAGAGGGATCTATTCCCCCATGCCATGCTATCCAGCAGTAACTACCACGAACTGCTTTGCAGACCTTTTGCCGGTTCAATACCCTTAACCACCTAAACCGAGTCGGCTCACCCCATAGATTTTTTAGGTTGCTTCCATGACCAGTTTCCCAGACCCTGGGGTTCATAAAAGGGGTGCGCTGGGAGAATCGTAGGTACATCCAGGTGTGACACGGCTGATATCCAACAAACGCCTGCATGACCTTAGTATACTAACGTAACAGATTCCTAACTGGCAGTCATGCAGAATCACTCTCATACTCTTCGCCCCAAGCCCCAACAACCCAACCCCAAACCATGAACCCAAAACCTTAAATCAAAAACCCCAATCCTTAAGCGATCTAATTAACGATGTTGTGTTGTGTGCGCTATGTCTGAAATCACGAAACCTTCTCGTGAGAGGAAACTCCTGTCATATACCCAAGCATAGTGAGCTAGGGAGGTAGTGGGGGGAGCCAGCAGGGCCTTGAATGTCTTGAAATGATTTTATTTCGGAGGCTAGCTGCGCCAAAGGCGGGGATTTGGGGTCGCCCGGGCGACTTTTCTGGGCGGGTTGGGGTTGTCTGCCAGCGTTACTTGTTCTAGTTTTTTAGAGCGGTTATGGTCCTCATTTCCAGCTGGTTTGGTCTTCATTTTTCAGGGCGCAAGCCGGCATAAACGTGACGCCTATTGTGTTCTTCAGGAGCAGTCTTTGACGGAAACGAGTTAAGTGGAACTTTTTGGGGGGGCTCGTGTGGGCGCGCTCAAGTATTGTCGCACCGACCGAGTTTTCAAGGTCTGAGCATGAGACTAATTGCCGCGACTCCGCAGGACCATGGGCGCCTGGTGTGTGGTGTGTGTGATGGTGCTGTCAAGGTGCTGCAACAAGACCTTTCCATGCCAAGCCTTGGGGCTTGGCCCAAACAAGACCTTGGGGCCACGGCCCCGATGGCCCTGGGACCTGGGCTCAATATCCCGACCCTAAACCCCAAACCGGTCAGCTGCCACGTAGGCTGTACTGTGCCATGAATAGGAGGCAGGATGCTGTATCGTTTACACACTGTGTGGGCCATTGCGGTGGCCAACGCCGCACAAACACAGGTCCGATGTAGTGTTCGCTCTCGGCACAGACAGTTCTAGCACGACGTTCTTGATAATGTCAGTGCTTTGGCCCCTAAACAGTATGGCCTTAAACCCTGAACCACGTGGCCCTGAACCTAAACAGCATGGCCCTAGACCCTGAACCGCGTGGCCCCTAAATTGTACATCCTAAAGCTGAGGAAGTGCACTGCTACGGACGCATCAGGGAACGTGGCACAGTCGAACTTCTCCGTCAACACTGTTTGCGAAGGCGGATGACTCCTGCGTTTTGGATTAAGGGCTTCGGGTTTAGGGTTTAGTGCGTAAGTCTTCGGTGGCACCCGGCAACGGTGGCGTCTGAGAAAATAGCTTCGCTGCTTAAAGGCGAACTAAAGAGGATGAAAAGCGATGACAAGATGAATCCTGTGCGTGCCTTGCATTGAGGCCCTCTACCAAGCTTGGAGCTTTAGAGAATTGTCCTGGATTTCAGAGACTGTCAAAGCGGGACCCTAAAGCCTACACCATGAGCCCCAAATCAACTGAATTGACTGCCGTCTTCGAATTCAAGCGTTGGCATGCCAGGGCCTCCGTGTGAGGGATTAGGGTTTCTAGTATGTGCTGAGGGCTTAAGGGTTTAGACCAGCTTATACGGAAGCCGTTACCAGTTCTTTTTTCAAGCTATAGTCCCCCTTCAGTAGATAGAATGTGGCTTTGAGTATATTATAATGAGATCTCCATAAGGCCTCCTATTCTATCGACCTCAGGGGGACTATAGCCCATTGTGTGTTTGACTACGGTGGGCAGCGGCATTAGCAAATACTCATATGGGCTACAGGCTAAATTCCTTAAATGGGGCTGATAAGGTGCATTATATGAGGGACTACTATAGGGATCATGAAGGGGGATACTAGAAGTTTAGACTATAGCTCATCTCATCTCATATCTGGAAGGCCGCACCATCAGGCAATTTGTAGGCAGGCCACCACAATCCCTCGACGTTGTTTTTACGCTTGGTTTTAGAAGCCTGACACGCCTTTTCCTCACAAGGTTTCAGTGGTGACGCTGGGTCTTCAGGGCACCCCTATTGAGTACCGTCCGAGCTTTTCACGAGCCTCTATCGAGTTTTCCTGAACTTAACCTCTACAACGTGCCTGAAATATGTCAGGCATTCTGAGATAACTTCGTAGCGGAGTAGGCTACCTTCACCTTTCGGGTCAAAATAATCCTACTTGAACTGAAAGGTTAACCTTTTTTTTGGACCTGGAGCCGGGGAGCTCAGCAGCGAGGATGGTTGGATGATCCCCAAACCCTAAACCCTAGGGTGTATTGAAAGCCAAGCATCTTGGGGCCCTAGAAGTTCGGCATGCCAAGGAGTTCATGTGATGTTCAAGAGGGTTTTGGGTGTGGAGGGCCTTAGGCTTTAGGGGAGCAATATGCAAGCCACCGAAACAGCTTTGCAAATACTCATATCTGAAAGCCCCACCATGAAGTAAATTGTAGGCAGGCCTCAAGGCCCTCTAGGGTTTAAGGTGTAGGGTTTAGAGTTTAGGGTTTAAGGCTTAGGGCCGGTTTTGGAAGCTTTTTCAGACGGAAGTTTCCTTGGCGACGCTTGGTCTTCAGGGCCTTCCTCCTCGGAATCATCGAAGCTGTTAAGTGCAGGGATTTAGGGTTTAGTTAACCTGCCTTTCGATAGAGTTCCTGCACCTAAACCCTAAACCGTGTCTAAAGGATGTGAGGCGTTCTTGAAAAACTTAGCAGCTGGGTCGGCAAGCTTCAACCTCTTGTGGTTGATATACGCCTACTAGAACTAAAAGGTTACTCTTGCTTGGGTAAAGGAACTCAGCAACAAGGATAGTTTGAGCTGAAAAGAGATGCCTGGATGACTCTAATACGTACACCCTAAACCATGGCTTGAGGATGCCAGGCACAGATGCTTCATTCAAGCGTTGCCAAGACTTTCCACCTAAACCTTAAACCCTCAACCCTAAACCCTTAATCCCTAAACCCTTAACCCCTAAATCCTTAATCCCTAAACCCTTAATCCCTCAACCCTAAACCCTTAATCCCTAAACCCTTAATCCCTAAACCCTTAAACCCTCAACCCTTACACCCTTAATCCCTAAACCCTCAAGCAACCTTCAAAGAATTGAGCCTGACCTGCTGGTAGGCGTGCAGCCACCGCGCAGGCGAATCCGGCGCAATTTTAGGCGACGCCGAGTTTGACCTTACTGCGAGTGAATAGGGAATAAGGGAGTATCATATATATATATATATATACATATTTAGGATTCAGGGTTCAGGGTTTAGGGTTTAGGGTCAGTTATTGGGGGATAAGGGAAATGTTTTGTATCTAGCCCTGTGTTAGTCCCTTGTTCCTAATTTACGCAGCGGTAAGTTGAGTCCAAAGGACTTGCATGGCATGCCCTTTGCTTTGGCATAGGTCGTCCATGTAGTGCGTGACTCACTGGTGGTTCCTAGGGCTCTTCGAGATGGACCAGAAAGTGGAAACTACTGCATACTTGCGGGGTATATGCAGGCTACTATCAGGATCCATCCCCAAAATTCCCTAAACCCCTGAAACCTAAAGCCCTGAACCCTAAATCCCAAACCCCAACCCTAACCCCTGAACCCTGAATGGGGCAAACGGCCTACAATATTTCCGGGACGACAGGGATCACTCTACACCCTGACCCCCGTGGAAAAAATCCATTGCATTTAGGGGTCTACAATTCGAGCACCGTACGCGGTTTAGGGTTTAGGGGGTTTAAGGATTAAGGGGTTTATTTACGGTGTAGGGTCTAGGGCTTGGGGGAGATATGACAGGTGCTGAAATGTCTTTTTGCCAAGCCCTGGCTTTGTTTTAGTAGAGTCTCCATAGCAACCCAAAATTCGGATTGCTAATTAACACGCGAACACAGGCCCCTTTAAAGACCGTTGTGCAACTTGGATGGGGCATTCCAAATTCCCTTATTAATGGTCCTGTTACAACGGGGCCGACATGACATGGAATGCAAGGGTTTTGCAGTACTGGGTGTATATATATATATACACAGTAAATAATAAGGTTTCCCCTATACAGTAACGCAACCCAGCCTTCATCAGATGCAAACAGCAGGTGATGAATCTGGGCTCTACATATGATCCACAGCATGCAGTAGACGCCCACGGCATCCCTTGAGAATGTTGATACCGACTGCGTACATTGGTTTTTCTAATGTCTCCGAGGCACCAATCAATACCCTGCGAATCCTCAGAACCCGAGGTCTAGTGAAACATATCCATAGGCTTTACTCCAAGGTTCGGGGTGACTATATTCCAATTATAATTGGTACTTAGAACCCAATGATAGCCATATTCGGGGACTTAGATGACTTGTGGGTTATAAGCCAACATATATTTGGGTCATAACTACCCTGAGCCTTCAAGTACATGTCGGATCATACATTTAAATCTTACGTTTTGGACCAGATGCCTGGGGGGTTTAGGGCTTTAGGGTTCGCGGCTCTAGGGTAGTTCAGGGCCTAAGGCTTCGGATCCGGGGCGTCTTGGAAGAAGGGGTAGAACCAAATTATGACATGTTACTGTTGGGGGACTCAGGGGCTTAATGCGTAGAAGTTGTGATTGGGTTACAATCTCACTGAACCTTCAAGAAGAGCTCTGCGGCTGCCCCCCCCCGGCGAACACCTACGCCGTAGGAATCTTCTTTAAGCCCTCTTTCGATGTATAGCTCGGGCGTGAACAAGTCTGTACGTCTTTGTCCTTTTGAATGGCCTTAGTCCATTCACTATCCGTGGACAGGAGACTTTCAGCTCAGCTACGCCAAAGGCTGCGTAAAACAGGTCTTGTGCTGCGCGAGTGAACCGTTTTCCGGTTAACAGCAATCTGCTGATTGAGCAATGAAGTTGTTTGTGTGTGTGTGCTTTTTTCGAAGCCCCTAAAGCCTAAACCTTGTAGGAATAGAGCTCTCGCTTCAGAAGCTTGGTCGTAGATTGATTAGGGCTTAGGGTTTACGATGACGTGGAAGGCGGCATAAGTCATCAGCGGAGACGTGTATCTCAGCAAATATTGGTCAACTACAGGCCTAGCCTTTATCAGATATTTTATCTTTATGTGCGAGCTGCGAGGGTGTAGAATCTAAAAATCATGGTTGAAGTGTATTGGCTTGAAATCTAGTTGGCTGCTTTGTTTGAAGGAGCCTGTGGTGGCAGTGGTGACTTTCTTGAGTTGATTTCATGAGGATATCTAGGCCCCAAACTCATAAAATCAGTGCGGTGCAGCCTATGATGTTTGAAACGGACCAACAATGGCAATCTTATTGAAAGTCGATGTATGCATTGTGTAGCCATCCATAGGTCAAAGCAAAGAGCAGCGGAACAGGAAGTTGGCCATGACAAAAGCATTGGCCTTTCTGGCATTGCATGGAAGGTTTCTAAGGTCGAAGACACGAGACGGAGACAAAATTGGGGGAGCCTTTGCGGATGTTCATGAACCTGGGGCTATATACGGATTATATAGGGATAATGGAAAAGAAAATGGAAACTACAGAGATTATATAGGGTTATATAAGCAGGGATGATGGGGAGAGACACCAAACCAAGGATGGTTGTATAACCCAAAACCCTACGAATAAAGTGATATGTGTTGTGTAGGGTCTGTGTTGAGGCCAGCCCTACAATTTAAGTGTTACACCTGAAGTTCGGAAACCCGTAAGCCCGAACCCTAAACCATAAACCCTTAAACCCTAAACCGAAACCTGAAGCCTTAGACCTTAGGCCATGAACCCTTTTTCCTGGCCTTAGAGGAATGGAAAACATGGAAACTACTATAATGGGTTATGTAGGGTTTAGAGTTTAGGGTTGGAATGAAGAAATGGAAAAGAAAATGGAAACGACTATAATGGGTTAAATAGGGGACTACCGTGAGGATCCATTCCTTCATCCCTAGCTAGCCAAAGACCAGTTTCAAGGTGTACGGTTTTCGTTACAAGGTTTTAAGTTTGAGTTTCCTGCTACTCAAGCTTTGCCCTATAAGCCAAATGGTTTACGCGCCGGCCGGCGCCCGTGGGGCATGCAAGAAGCCTTTGGTGAGGCCAGCTTAGAGGGTTTAGGGCTTAGAGAGTCTTGCCAGGAGATTCGGGGATTCGCGAGTAGAATTCGATACTTGACAATTCGACAGGACGCCTTCGCCGCACTACCTTCGGATGGGGCTTAGTTAGATCGCCAAAGGTTCTCAGTGCCCAACTCAGTTAAGGGCAAAGCATATGCCCAACCCTGTGCGGCGAATTTCACTTCATAAGTTTTCTTGATTCAACTTTCAGGTCTTCAAGCGCAAACATCGCATTTCGTCCTGACCTGCTACAGTACAAAGAGACAGGGGCTGAAATGGCTGTGCACCCTTCCAGGGCTTGAGGAGCAATAAAGAGTAGGAATCCGCGGGGCGCCTCTGCGGATGTTCATGAACCTTGGGCTATATGGGGATTATATAGGGATAATGGAAACTACAGGTTATATAGGGGTTATATAGGGGTTATATAGGGACTCCAATTCCTGTAAAACCATGAATACTACTTGGAAAGCCTCATGCTGTGAATTCCAAGCAGCCGACTCAAATCCCTCAAAACCCTCAGATCCTTGAACCCTCATCCCTAAACGTTAGACCCTAAACCATAAACCTTCAGTCCCACCTGGACCCTCCAATGTAGTTCCTTTTTGGGTTTGGTATGGTTTTTTGGTTAGGACTCTTATTAGGACTACCAAAAAGGTATTACATTGGAGGGTTTAGGTAAACCCTGAACCTTAAATCCTTGTCCAATGTCAACTCAAAACTCACAGCCCAAATTGCAGTCATGGCTCTGTCATCGACGCCAGACTGCGGGATGTGCGGGGCCCCAGTCCCAGGTGCATTAGTTTTGAGCCAGGGACTTTGGGGCGGAAGGTATGTAGTGCCGAGAGGGTAGGGATTAAGCCCCTGCTGCCAGCAGCATTGTATTGAGCACCCTCGCTGTACAAACGGAATACGGAGTGTGAAACGCTCCCCATAATAAAACCCACTCCTCTGCTGTTGCTGCTAGGTAAGCGTACTGGTTCCAGAGAACAAGGGAAGGGTGTATATATATATATATATATGTATATATGTGGTCCACATATACTCCCTATCAATATATTCCCTTTCTTTACTGACCACCAGTAAGTAAGCAGGACTTCGATTCCCAGTGTCCGTTGAACAGGCTTAACCTTAGCCCAAACCCTTATTGCAAGCCGTACATCCCAAAGCTTAAAACCCTCCACGCTAAACCCTAAACCCTACTTAACCCCTTCAAATACCAGAACCTTACCATGATGGGAGATGCAAGGTTCGCAACAGGCATTCCACTTTGGTGGAAAAAAAGGTCAGGAAAGAACAGCAAAATGTCCTAGCCCCACAAGCCCTGACACGCGAAATTCCAAACTCGAAATAAAGCCTGAACCCTAAACTCTAAACCCAAAACCCCAAAACTCCAAAACCCTTAAACCCCTAAACCCCCACACCCCCTAAACCCCTAAACCCCTAATTCCTAACCCTGAGTTTCTGTTGGCAGCATTGCAATGCGGAAGAGGAAGTTGCTTCGCGGGAACAGTGGATGAAGTTCACGGGGTAGAGACTTGCGAGAAGACGGCATGGAGGGCAACGGGCAAGACGGTCATAGAAATATGAGTAAATTCACAAGCCCACCCGAGACTACATGCCCCAGACCATACGCCCCAAACCCTGGAATACTAAACGTCGAGCCTTAAATCCCAGCCCGAGACACAAACGCTACCCTAGCGCAAAACCCTTAACCCCAAACCCCTTGACACACTTTTAATCCCAAATCCTAACACCCTAGACCTCAAACCTCAATCCCTTTGAAACTTCAACAAGCATCCCCCTTTTTTTCCCCATGCAACCCGTTATCACCTGGTAGAAGCCTTTATATCCTTATAGATCCATATATCACCTTGTATAAGCCCCTAAACCCTAAACCCTACACCAACCCTGCACTCATGATTAATCACTCTCCTGCCAAAGCAAAGGCTAACTTTTGGTTAGCCATCGTGGCGGATGACGAAGCCGCAGCTGCCCTGGGGGGTTCAGGCCTTTAGGGTTTCAGGGATTTTCGGGGCTTCAAGGTTTTTAGGGCTCCAGGGTTTTTGGGTTTTAGGGTTCCAGGTTCTAGGATTTAGAGTTT